TGAACAGGGAACCTGGCACCTCACCCACGGCTATGGTTTTAGAGAACATAGAAAAGCTGAAAACTTTAAGCTTGGGAATGATCTGAAGTGGTTTGTTCTTGTTTAGCTCCACTTGGAATGAAATCAGAGCTGCTGGAGCTCTCAAGTGTGATTATGTTAATAATGTGCCTTTCCCTAACATATTTTTTTTTTTTGCCCTAGATCAGACAAAAAGCATCAACCTAAAGATCATAGTTTAGAGAGTACTCTCAAGCCTACTAAAAAGCACTTAAAGGTTTTCTCTTGTTACAGCCTCCTTACTCTCCTATACGCCTTTTCTACTAGGTCATTAGATTAAAACAGTCTTTGCATTTTATATCTGTTAGAGAAAGCTTTTATGGGAACACTAACTTCTTTAGATGCAAAGACCTTTAGGAGCCAAATTTTTACACTCCTCTTGTTCTTGAGTTCCTTTTTTCTACGGCTTTTAGTTCTCGACACCTACTTCAAATGTTCAATCTTAATTTCTTAACCTGGAAGGACAAAAAGAGAAGATGAAAAATTAGGAAGTCTTGGGAAAATCTGAACAAGCATCTGAGAAGATGCACAGTATCCACAAAATGGGAAAAACACCACATCTGGTACCTGTGGTTGGCTTAACCATTTGTGAACCACACTGCACATTCCTGTCAGAGGTAACAGCACTGGGACCTTTTGCCAGCAGCAGAAACCTCATACATACACTTGGACTTTATTCTGCAGGACAGACCTTATCCAAGATTCTACACTATTAGCACAGCTGAAGAGGGGAAAAGGTAGGGCTTCTAACCTACAGATGAACTAAGGGGTCATTTAAGAGCAGTTCTGAAAGACTGTCAGCAAATTCTGCAGAAAAATGTTGAAAGAGCCATGAACAAGCAGCTCCCTGTTTTTATTATGGCTTCACTGGTTGTGAAATGTCATGAGCTTAAAGAACAGCAGTTGCATAGAGGAAGGAAAAATGCTTTTGAGTAGCCCATATATACAGTATTCATTTCTTGAGTAAAAGGAGGTAACCCTCAAGTAAGTGAAGTCTGCTTTCTCAAGAGTGAATAAAAGTGACAATTTACATTTCTAAGCATCTTGCCCTCACCTGCAAAGCAGTACAGGCCACCATCTCCTTTTTGAAGTGCTGAACTATTCTCCAAAAATCAGAAACCATTCAACAGCATTCCTTTCTTAAAAAGGAAGATCCCACTATGTTCTTGCAAACTCCATTGGCCACAGCAGACACCTCTGAGTGCTAAGAGGAGCAGGCTTTTACTTGCTAGCTTATTGGCTCACTATTCCTGTAAAGGTCTCATGGATGATCAGAGGAGAAGGGGACTCAGCCACAGATTTTTAGCAGCTCAGAAGAAGGATGATACAAGGCTTATACTTTGCTCTGACCTTCCTGTTATTTTTCCGTTTAGCTTTTAATTCTTGGTTAGCACTGGGAGGAACACAGAATACTTCTGCATGTGGGTCACCCAGCTCTGCTCTCCATACCCTATCCTCAGCTTTGGCCTGGTCTCTTGGGTCCCCCAGCTAAGCAGACAAAAAGCCATTCACACCCCCAAACTGGAGCTGTTGGGAATAGACAGACTGCTGGCCTCATGGTCGCAGCCAGTCCCTCGGCTCCCTCATGTCAGCATCAAAACATCCTTGGCGTCTTTAGGCAAGGCAGGCATTTGGCCTCTCTTCTCTGCTTTTATTTCTGTTTGGTTGATCTCCCCTAGGATTTTAATTAAGGTGCCTTTGGATGAAATGTGTCCAGATCATATTTCCGTTAAAAAAGTTGACATAAATTTACATTTTAAGTTCTTTTAGTATATATTCTCCTCATATTTTGTCTCTGTTTTTACAAGTTTTTACCCTTCTTTCTAGTCCTGCTTCATAATCTCCAAGTGCATTTATTCCAAATCCCGTGTCACTCCAATCACAAGAAGGAATGGTCTCAAAGATCCTCTTATCGTGTGCGTGCACAATCCTTGCTACATTTTTTCTTTACACTTGAAAAGATTTCTTTCCACAGATATTATTTCTACTGAAGTTGTAATTCCCTGCTCTTCTTCTTTCTAGAATGTAAGTCCTTTAAATGAAAGTACTGATCTTTCTTGGTGACAAAGAGATGGATGGTAGCAATGTCAACATTGTTTGAGACTGCTTAAGACTGGGGTTTTTGTCTGTATAAATAATTCTCTGTCACTTTTTTTTCTTAAGGTTACTGGTACTGCACTATAGCTGTTCTATTCTGACTAATTTGCTCTTTTTGAATTTCTTTGGACCTGATTTTACAATGTCCCAATCATCTTTTATTTCCCAAAGGCACCAGCCTTGTCTTGTTAAAGTGCCTTTATTATGTGGATAGGACAATTAGATGAAAGAACAAAGAATGCCTGAGGGACAACGGTAGAATATTTTCCTATTATTCATTGAGAAATAATGGATAGTTTCATTTAGAAGAAGCTTTCTCATTTTCGAAGATTGGATAAAAGACCTAGCCATTTCTTACACTAAATATGATGTAATGTTTTAGAATAACATTGTGTGGACATATTCATAAATTCATTCACACTTATGTACGTTTTACAGACAAAATATCTGCTTCCTACTGTGGAAAGAAAGACTTATTATTTTATTTCTTTTTATTTTAATTACTCTGAACTGAACCCCTTTACACTGCACTGTAATTAGACCTGAGCAGTAATGGGAACTTCTCTCAATTTATCCTCGTTCATCTTACGACTGATAGGATAAAAACGTTTTGCATTTACAACCAATATTTGTAATTTAAGACTCTGACATTTCCACACAACCTCAGAATAATCCGGAGATTATTTTATATTCCCTGCCCAAGTTGTATCTTACTTCTGTTTAAGCATTTTTCCCTTTTTTTTTTCCCATTACTACATATGGCAGTTGTTAAGACAAGACTCATGTCTTTGCTACCTCATCCCAGCTTCAGTTCCATTCCACTCTTTCTATCCTGGATGCAACAAACTCAGTTCTGCAACCTATCATACCAGCACCCCTTCATCTTTGCAGTGAATATCTGAGTTGTTCCCAAATGTGCTCATAGCTCAGAAATTAATTATGCAAAAAAAAAAAAAAAAAACCCAAATATGAAAGAAGCCTCTTAATACTTTCATGTAACAATCATTTTCTCCAGGAAGTTAGTTTAGAAAGGAGAAGGGCAGAATTACACTTGATGTGGTCTCACACTGCAATTTCATGTATTTTGGGTTGTCTTGAATTACAATTCTTCACAATCTTGCCTGTCAAGTACACATATGGTTTATGTTACAAACCACAACACAGTAATTCTAAATGTGCATTTACAAAAGCTTTTCAAACTTTCAAACTCAGTGTTTCTAGTGCCAGGTTAGCATAGGTGAGCAGAGTGTCCTTGCCACAAAGAGTACTAATGACATCCTGGGCTGCATTAAGAGTAGCATTGCCAGCAGGCCAAGGAATGTCATCACCTCTGCTCAGCACTGGTGAGGCTACACCTGGAGAATTGTATCCAGTTTTGGGCTCCCCAGTACAGGAGAGACCTGGACATACTTGAGACAGTCCAGCAAAGGACCATTAAGATGATGAAGGGACTGGAGCAACTCCTGTGAGGAAAAACTGAGGGAGCTGGGGTTGCTCAGCCTGGAGAAAAGGAGGCTCAGGGGGGTCTCATCAATATCCATAAAGACCCGAAGGGAGGGTGTGAAGGAGACAGAGCCAGGTCCTGTTCAGTGATGTCCTATGCCAGGACAAGAGGTAATAGGCATAAATTCAAACAGCTGTTGTTCTCTCTGAACATTAGGAATCACTTATTTACTGGCACAGTTTTCCCATACAGGTTGTGGAGTCTCCTTCTTGGAGTAATTCACGTGCAGTTTAGATACAGTCCTGCTTGAGCACGTGAGTTGGTCTGGATGAACACACGTGCTAATCCAGACAGTAATGTCACTAGAAGAAGAGATTTCTGTGACAGATTTTTTGTCGACACATCTGGAGGTATAATGTGTTTGATCTGCTTCACATGGCACAGAAGAAGCCATTGCCCTTCTTGACAGCAGAAAAAAATCTCATGACATTAAGAGACATTTGAATGCAAGACCTTTAATGAATGCAGTAGCTTAAATATGAGTATGAAATCTAACTATGCAGGTGCTGAGAAGCAAGAAGGGAATAGTGTATTCCCTCTTTCCAAGCCAATTAGACTGCTTGCATCTCACCAAGTGACTTCGTACTAAGCATAAGCCTCTTAGAGCTGAGCTCCACTGATGCACCGCTATTCTGAACTTGCCCTTAGTTGTAGAAGAAGGGAGACAGTGAAGCTTGACTGCTCCTTTTCTCTGTGGTGCTTTCTGGGCTATACACAGGGGAAAACCAACAGTTTGGACTCATTGCTCTGATTCAGTGGCAGAAATAATTCCATTATGTCTGCAAAGAATACAACACACAAATCCTTTCCTGGACGTGACAACAAAGCAACAAAAAAAATGTGTAAGCAGATCCTTGGCAACTCTTCCCTCACATTAATGTGGTTTTGATTCACCTGTCATAGAAATGACAACAGTAGTAATGGTGACAGCAGCAGAATGGTGTTGGGAGGACAGTCAGAGCTGAATTTCAGAGGGATAAAGTGGCTGGTGGCTACATATGGCTCAGATCCCACTGCAGTCCCCAGACTGCTCCATGTTACCAGCAATAGCCTCACATCCCCAGCCCCATGTGTGCCTCACTGTCCTGATCAATCAGTGGAGGAAGCTGAGGCAGGCGTCACCCGGAGCCTTGGTACAGATACGGCTGCCTTGGACAAGGTGCACATTGTCTTGCCCTGGCACTGCTGCTCCCATTGGCCCATTCTGACCATTACAGGGACTGGACATCTTTAAAAGGAGGCAAAAGAAATCTGAGTCAGGCACAAAATTTCTTTGGCTCCCACCAAGAGCATCTGTGACTGCTGCCTCTCTCTAGGATCACCGCCTCACAAAGCCAACACGATGTGTAACCGATTTGTGGGAACCTGGAAACTTGTCTCCAGTGAAAATTTTGATGACTATATGAAAGAACTGGGTGAGAGATGTTGTGTGCTTTTTCTTCTTTTTCTTTTTCTTTCTTTCTTTCTTTTTTTTTTCCAAGTAAGTTTCCTTTGTAAATGCCTCTCCTTTTGCATCTTATGCTTTGCTCATGCGTAGTGCTTTCCTCCTGGCCACATAGGCATTGCAATTATTTTTCTAGCATAACTTATTTCCTTAACACCTAGCATGGAAAGAAAAGAAAGGCTTCTGTTATAAATGTACCTGTTTCTAAGTGAACTAACCTGATCTAACCTGTTTGTAATGAGAAGGATCCAAGGAGATGCAGCATTGTTTTATGTTTCTCTTAATTGCACTGTTAAACTCGTGACTTGTTATAATTTACAATATATAATGGAGCTGATGTCTCATGACACTTTGGTTTCAGAGTTCTAAATCCTATGAATGAATATATCTGTTTCTGAGAAATGCCAGGAATGTAATCAATTGGGCATTGTTTTTAATTCTAATGCTGGCTTCATTCCTAGATAGCAAGTGCACACAGTCAGTTACAGCATTTCTTTTGCTATATAAATGATTCACTGAGACACTAATTCCCCTTATTTGAAATGTTAAACTGAGTAACAAAAGAACTTCAGTAAATTAATTAACCAGAGTAAATGTGGGATGCAAGTCCAACTACAGACATTCTTCTGAAGATTGGAACAGAAATGTTTCAATACTGAATAATTACTGCAAATAGTATTATACTTTACAGATAACAACATATATCTTTTTATATGTATCTTCTCATATGAGCACTTCATAGCATTAATGCAACAACTATAGCTATCCCCTTTTTGTTTTTATAAAGCAGTGATACATCATTATTTGTACATGTACTTGCCTTTTCCTCTGAAGTTCAAGAGTTAGGATCCCTAATGTATCTTAGTAAAAACCTAGGAATTGCCCATTCTCCACTATATTCTTTGCTTTAATGAATTAGTAACAGCATACTGGCAGTTCAGAATCCCGTTTCTTCCCAGCATCTTGCTAAGAGAAGTTCAGATTCTAAGATTATTCAACAATTTTTATACAAAAAGGATTTAGTTGAGCTTTTGTGAGACACAGTTCTATCTCTTCAAAGATACATGCACACTACTAACCACCAGTATTTCTTCCTAGTTAAATGTACACCAGTACATACTCAAGTGAATCTTTGCTTCTTGCTGGAGGCGCATGCTGTCAACTGGGACTGCATGGCCATTTGAATACAGTGCTTCCACATATGAAGAATCAGTGTCTCATATGAAGAAAGCATTACAGTATTCAGGAATAAACTTTTCCTTATTTTTCTACTGAAGTTTTTCAAAATGGTACTGAGTTTTTTGCTTCCTAGAATGTAATGATGGTTTTGTTCCTGATTTTTAGGAGTGGGCTTAGCAACCAGGAAACTGGGTGGCCTGTCAAAGCCCAGTGTGATCATTAGTATGAAGGGAGACATAGTAACCCTCAGAACGGAAAGCACCTTCAAAAATACAGAGATTTCCTTCAAATTGGGTCAGCAGTTTGATGAAACAACAGCAGATGACCGGAAAGTCAAGGTAAGGGGGCTGATGTTCTCTGAGTGGTCCTAACATACTAGAAGAGAGACAGGAGGAGTTTTTCCCACCCTCTTAGTGTACTATGAAATTCCCAGGTAATTCAAGAAAAGCACTGAAAGAAGAAATAGTATGATGCTGGCACCACTGGTAAGAAGTTTATCATTAGCAGAGGATGCAGATCTGGCTGAATATAAAATGAGTTGCTACTCTAACCTGCAAAGCTTTGATTACAGTTTGAGACTCTTCTCTTGGCCTTTGTAGAGTGTTGTAACCTTGGAGAAAGGGTCATTGGTTCAAGTTCAGAAGTGGAATGGCAAAGAAACCACAATAAAAAGAAGACTGGTTGATGGGAAAATGGTGGTGGTAAGTACCAGGCTCTACTCCTTGTATACTGATGCATGGCAGGAAGATGAAACATTCAGTTGGCCTCTGTCTAAGCAGAGTGACAGTTTTGGCCTATGAGAGAAATAAGGATGGAGAAAATGGGAAACAAGCTTAGGAAACAACCTGGAAGGAAATAAATATTATTCCATAACAGCAAATTGTCATTAAAGTAATTATACTGGCAGAGTTGTCATGATTTGAGATCATATATACTGATCTCAAAATTATTCTGCCTAAAAGAAATGCAATTTTCATGGAGTAGAAATCAGTGAAATGTTAAAAGAAGTTTGCAAGCCAGAAATTTTCTGTCCCTGGAATGGCTCTTTCCTTTTTTTCATCTTCAGAATGAATCCTGTCCACCTTAGAAAACTGATTTCATCCCTTTTTTGCACATCTGTTTCTACTTGTGCCAGTCAGTTCATACTACTGTTTGTTTTTTAGGCATGAGCACAACTAGCTAAAGATGCTGAAGGTTTACTGCATGAAAGGCAGCTCTCTGTGCCTAATTCTGCTGGTGATGTTGACCTGCAGCAGGGCCATCAGGTCCTGATGGCTCTTCTGAAAGGCCCTTGGCATTGAGAGAAGCACATCCTCCATGAAGGCTGGGGACTTTCCTCAATCCATCTAACCTGCCTACCTTTCTTACAGAAAGGGTTGTTAAGCACTGGAATAGGCTCCCTAGGGAGGTGGTTGAATCACCATCCCTAGATATGTTTAAAAACCGTTTGGATGTGGTGCTCAGGGGCATGATTTAGTGATGGGTTGTTAGGGTAGTATGGTTAAGTTGCGGTTGGACCTGATGATCTTGAAGGTCTTTTCCAACGTGAGCAATTCTATGATTCTATGATTGTCTGCTAGGCACAAAAAAGCCACAGGGGAGCCAATCTGGTGTCATAATACATTTTAGGGAATTGAGATTTTACTTCTGAATAAAGAGAAGGATCTTAGAATCACAGAATGATAGAATGTCTTAAGATGGAAGGACTTCAAGGACCACTCAATTCCAACCCCTTGCCATAAAGAGATCAGGCTGCTCAGGGCCCCGTCTATCCTGGCCTTGAACATCTCCAGGCATGGAGCATGCACAGCTTCTCTGGGCAGCCTGTGCCAGTTTTGCTCATTCTATCAGCACCCTGTGGCCTATCCCTGGCCTAGGACAGAACTGCTGAGGAGGACTCGTTTCTGCACACTGCTGAGCCCTGCCTCATGTCCTGCCACCTTTGTCGCACTTGCCTGGTGGCTGTGAGTCATCGAGAGCCACTGAGGGCCGCCAGGACAAAGGGGTCAGGAGAAACATCTTGTGATTCATGAGTGCAAAGTTTTGTAGGCCAGAATCCTGACCTCTGAGATGCACAGGCTGCATCTGTTTCCACAAAAAACATGTTTGTAAAACTGAAAGCGTTTGTGAGCCACAGTGTGATAAACCAGGCCTTGATGTTTCTATCAAGCCAGTAACAACGAGAGTGCTTTTTTTTTCCTGTAAGCTGAAGCTAATTTTGCATTCTTTTTGTCATTATATGCCATTTACTTAAAAACAAAAACAAACAAAGAAACAAACAAAACACTTATTGCACTATAACTGTAGTTTTGCTATCTGCTCTAAAAATTATACAGATTTTCAAAATATGATATCTGGATTTTCAGTGAGTTCAGTGGTACTGCAGCAGACATACTTGCTGCAAGTGAGATCCTTATATTAATCTTTTCTTTTGTGCCTTAGGAGTGTGCTATGAAAGGGGTTGTCTGCACCAGAGTCTATGAAAGAGTGTGAAGAAACACCTTCTCTGCACTGGACTGGGATTGGCTCTAAAAACTCACCCTAGCCCAGTGACCAAAGCTTCATGCACTGTGCTTCTTTATTTTATTTCCTTTTATTGGGAAAATGACTGCATTATGATTTGATATTCCAGAGCCATAGTGTGACTAATCCAGAATATTATGGTGCCTCAATAAAAGCTTCTCAATAAATGAAATAGAGTGTGTGCTCATCAATTTTTAAAGTTTGCTTTCTTGAATGCTGCCCATCTTTCTGTTGTTCTTGTCTGTGTAGATGGTCAGACTATTTCTGCATAAAATGCTAAAATACAATCGATCTGCCTCTGGGAGAGGGCTAACACTGTTTCCTTAATATGTGTAAAAGTTCTCATCTCATGGCTGCTATGTCACCTTCCTGTAAATGATTTTGTTGCTGAATAGTTCCTATAGGGAAAATTATCTTAACCACAATCATTTTTGACTTGCAGTATGATTTATTGTTTCAGTCTTTTAGTTTTACTGCATCGTTTCTTCTCATTGTTCTCATCCTAAAATGCTTATACTTCTCTTCGTACCAATTTCTATAACCTCGCATTTGCTTAGAAGAGAGCACCTTTAGGAGGATGAATTATCAGGATATTTTCCATATTTCTCTGCCCAGCAGCTTTTGAACTTTCAAAAGAAGTGTGAAACAGGTCTCAATGAACTCTGGAAATCTTAGTGCTATAGAGTTTCATTTTGCAAAGCAATTCCTCTTACTTCTAGCAATTTTTAAGCATAGGTTTAGAGTTAAGCACACAGAAGAGATTTCAATTGATAGAATTTTCTGCTAAACCCAATAGAGTAACTAAGCTGTTCATTCTTCCTGTTGTACTTCATGCTTTTGACTAAGGAAAAAACAGAAAATCTCCTTAATCCAAAAGCATGGGAGCAGCTTATTACTTTTTTTTCTTCCTTAACTGGCATTCAGTAATAGCACAGCTCATTGTGTTAACAACACAAAGAGGAGTATTTCTTCCCTTTTCATTGACTCCACGTCATCATGCAGGACTCTCTCTGCCTTCTCTGGGGGGTTAAAACTGCTGTGATAGGCAGATGTGTTTATTTTGGCTTGTTAGGAGCTGCAGTGCTAATGTGAACCTTTGCCTACTGGTTCTGCAGTTGAGAACATGAATTCTCACAGTAAGGGAGATCTGGAATGTCAGTATCTGAATCGGTGCAGCTGAGCAGATAATTAGGAAATGAATGTCATATGTAAATGCAAAATATAAAGGTCACTTTTCTTCTCTACCTATCATTGGAGAAGCTTGAGACTAGGTCTGGCTTTGATCACAATTATATCGATGCATACTCATTGGAGGCAGCTGCCTGAAGGTACAGGAGGCATCCTAGAAAATATGAGTTGTGATAGAAGGCTGGAGATTTACAGATAACTTTATACTGGTCTCTAACCTAAGTGGGGGTAAGAAGGAAGCAAATTCTTCCGTTTTGCCATAAAGATTCACATTTGTGAGAGTCAGAGTTTCTGTGACTCTAAGTCCTCAGTGTCTGTAACGAGGACTGTAAGTAAAGTGCTGCCCCTTGTAACATAACATTGTTTACAAGCTGTCCGAGCTGTTCTCCAGCTCAGAGCTGCAGCCAAAGGAGTGGTGAGTGCTGCAAACACACTCTTTATTTCCTTTGCTTTTCTTTCAGCAACCTGTAAATGCTTCTCTGAGGTTAAATGGAAAATTTTCCTCTCCAACTGAATGTCAGCTTTCAGTTTTTTTACTTCCTCAAGAAAAGGAAATAAACATTCAGTTTGGTACAAGCTGTGTTTTTCCAGGACTGGGGAAAAAAATAGGACTGTTCACTCAGTCCTTGTTCATTTACTGTCTTCTCCTTTTCTCTCACACAACCCACCTTCCTCCTCTCCTCTGTGTGGATTTTTTAATTGCATTTAATTTTCTAGAGTCTGAGGATTAAAATTCCTAATGAGACGCAGATACGTTATTAGGATCCCACTATTTGGCGTTTTCACTCCATATGAAGGTCACTTCAAAATGTCATGTGAGCCAGGGACTTTCCAAAACAGGAAAAGTGCAACTGGACTGATAGTGTGGAAGGCGAAAACAGTGAGGCAGGTGGCACAAATCAGCGCAGAAATGGAGCGCTTTGGGATACTGCAGCACATAATGCAGTCCTTGAGGTCTCCAAAAGAAATTTTTATATGAACTGTGTGATCTGAAAGTTTATTTTGTGCCTAACTACAGATCCGCTTTTCTCCTTCACTAAACATTTTACATGGGCTAGATGCTCATGGAATGAATGTCCAAACCGAGGTACGACGCCTATGTCTTGAACACGTTGCCAAATGCCTGAATTTTCCATTTGCCTGCTGCTTAATCTAGGGATGAGAGTATCCTAATACTGGCATATGAATAGCATTGTTTAAGCTATTCAGCTTGATCTAGTACCCACCTCATCCTCTGCTTGCTACGGAGACCACTGGGGCTACTGAAATCAAGCAAAAGCTGCCTCTGGCCTGTGGGTGCTGTGGCTGTTGCCTTGGACTGGACAGAATTTGACTATTTGCAATAGAAAGTGTCTCTGTGTGACACATATCTAAACCTGCGATTCTGTGCACAACAATCCACTCACTTCTGTGCAACAGGAGCAGGGAGGAGAGGCCACAGACTCTCAAGCAAAGTCTTTGTCCCATGTTGGTATCCCATGTACCTTTAAACTTTTCTCAGTTGTTCTTGGTGAGCTCACATTTGTGGTATTGCAATTATATTGCAAAGATTATTTGCACACATCCTAGGGACCAACGCATGGCCTTTGGTGCTGTTGTAGTTACACTACTTTGATGCCTATTGGGACCATTTCATCAAGCAGTAACTATTCTAGGAATGGCAAAGATGGGGGAGGGAATTACACAGAGTTATTAAATAAGTTGCCTTCATAACAGATCCTCACTACATATCTTTTTCATAGAGAAACTCCTTGCCATGCTTATAAACACTTCACTGTATAATAATCGCTCAACTCTGCCTTTTAAGATGTTGTTACCCTCCTTAATTTTCATTTTGTATTAAAGTTGTTCTGTTGATGTCTGTGTTACAATGGAGTGAAAGGTTAGCAGAGCCGAAGGGGTAATCAGTTAGAAACAAATAGGCTGATGCCATGAAAAATTGCCTTCAGAAATCCTGGAATTGAAATGTAATCAAGGTCTTTGTTAAAGAGGTAATTAAAGTACATCCTTGCCATTTCAATGGGGAACGTTGTGATTGGCCATTGGCCATTGTACTGCAGATAGGAAACACAATAAAATGATGTTATTTGGACTAAAGGGTACAACAACATTTGGAATAATGTATTCCCTGAGACACTAAAGAGAAAGAAAGCTGTGCAAAGCAGACACCGTCCATGTAGCATTTTCAAAGGAGATTGTGTTTTGTTTTTTTATCTTTTAGGTAGGAAATCAATATTTAAATATAATTTCCTCAAATGTTATGAACATGTTAAGAACTAAAATTGTGAGAAATGGCATGATTCAGGGATTAGGAAGGATGGAAAACTGGATTACAGTTGGATCTATTTTCAGGTACTCAGTAGAGTGGTAGTTAAGACTAGTTAGATTAAAACAGGCATATTGTTTTAATGTGATAACCAATATTGATTATACTATGTGAGATGTGTAAGGCAGGGAAAAAGGCTTCTCAATTTACTTCCTAGTGAATGTATCTACTTCCTAGCACATTTCCTTGGGGGCACAGCTTCCATATAGGCATCTGTGTGAGCAATAGGGTCAAAAACACTGTGAGAATTGATCCTGTGCTTCAAAGCTTATAAATGCTCTAACAGCTAGGGCTAAAGGTGCAGAAGATGTCTGTAGTGGAGCTGCATGACAGATAAGCTAAAGCACAGCCCGTATCAACTCTGACTGTGCTTTAGGCTTCTTTGGGAAATCTATAGACATAATTACTAGAAAGAAAAGATATTTCCTGTATCTAGCTACTGTACAATAATTACATTACTGAACATGCCAGCAATAATCTCATTTATCTCTCAGCTTCTACATGTTTTACTTGGAAACTCTGCATATTGGATATGAAAATTGGAGTCAGTGAATGTGGAAGATTCAGTTATCTTGTACTAAGAAGCTCCTAGCAGAGAGGCACAGCTTCATACAACTTTGTGCCACCTTCTCATGCTTTACACCACAGCGTTCAATTTTTTACCTTAGTGGCTCTTATATGCGCTTGTAGGCAAAATCATTTAAAGAGAATATTAACTCTTTCACAAATCTTCCCTCTTTGCTAACAGTGGGATTACGAAGCAATTTGAGATGATAAGACATAACACTGAAGGCCCCTAATTACCAGGTTAACATAAATGTTTTGATTTAAATTAACAAGAGAACAAGCAGTCAGATTATTAAAGGGTAGGTGCATAAAAGTCTCTGCTTTCCAGATAGAATCTGAGCCTCTGGCCAGGAGTGCAGGAGCCAACACTAAGGCTCTCCCTGGTGCTTCCTCTACCTGAAGAATTTGATGTAATCAAGAAGCATCATCACAGTTTATACTGGCGCTGTATCCACTTGGGTAGAGATTGCATTGTGAAATAAAAAGGCAGCCATTAGAGTCTAAGATAATGAGTTTGGAAGACTTGTGTTGAGGAACAGGAATAATTTTAAGAATGTATTTCCCTGTCTTTGCAAAGCCTGTGCGTTATGGCTAGCTCACAACTTAGTTTAACTGCATCTGACTTGGAAAAAACAGTCCAAAAGCCAATTGCTAACAACAAAGTTCTGAATGAGATGATTGCAGAAGCAGAGGTCCAACATACGTCTTCAGTTCTTTACTGGGTTAGAAAGAGAGACCAGGAGCTTACAGGGCAAAGAGTATGACAAGGCCTCAGAAAAATTCCAAATTGAATGTCAGTCAAGCTATTTATGAGAAACTAAAAGAGAGTAAGATAATGGAGGTCAATCTGAATAAATCATTTCAAACCAATGCCATTTTCTTCTACTGGAGTGACAGACAAGTCTTGTGGCTGGAAGGAGAGTGGTGATCC